TGGGACCTCCTGAAACTGAGAAGCTTCTGTAAAGCAAAGGACACTGTCACTAAGACAAAAAGGCATCCTACTGACTGGATTTGTGCTTGGTAGAGAGGCCTGATCGAGGGAAGGAGAAAGACAGACAGATGAGAACATGTGCCCGCTTTTAGGTTTAGGAGGGCACAGAGGAGGAAACTATTCCTAAGTGGGCTGCCATCTCTTCCCAGCCTTCGTAATGAGTAATGCCCATTGCCTAAAGGGCAATTCACTCAAAATGACTCACTGCTTTGAACAAAACTGGGAACATTTTCTGCCTTCTATCCAGAGGACATCATCAGCCCATCTGAGTCTCTTAAATAAGATTTCCAGAGCCCTGGCCTTATGCCTCCTAACAGGGTTGAGGCCCTACATCTTTCAAAGGCATAGACAAGCAGTTTCTTTGCTCATACTCTCTCATAAAACCCTGTCCCAAACACACACTAGATTTTGTCAACATGATGTTTCAAGGCTATTTCAGGACCCACAGTCACAGTACTGGAAAAGGCAATCTTGTCCTTATAGATAAACAAATCAGATATTTACAGCATTGCGGGCAGCATAAGACAAAACAGAATCTGGCTTTCAGTTTTAAAAACTGATTTTATTTCCTATCTGCCTTTTTCTTTGTCCTTCTCTTCCTTTATGTCCCCTAAACAACAAATTATATGAAGGAAAATTCAACCATTTTGGAGCCTTGGACTATAAGATTTGACAAACACAAGTAACTACCATGATATAGCATGTCTGCCAGTCCAATAACTACTGTGACTAACAACATACACATTTCTAGTGCCACAAGAGACTCCTTTCTCTCCCATCCCTTCCCCTGTCTCTTGCTTCTTCCCCCACCCCTCTCCCTATCCTCATCCCTTCTTCTCCCCTTTCTCCCATCCTCCTCTTTTTCTTCCTGTTTCAGACCCCTAAATGCTGAAATAATAGGAGGACACCACCATGTCCAGCTTTTTGTTTGTTTTGTTTGTTTTTTCAGTAGTAGGGATGGAACCCAGAGATTATGGCAAGCTAAAGCAAGTGCTCTATCACCAAGTTGCATCCCCAGAGTCCTGGCTTTGATATAACAGTATTTTTGTTGTATACTAATTTTATAAAGTAATGGGTTTCATAAAGATGTTTGTATACAAGTTTTTTTTTTTTTTGAATTTTCGAGACAGGGTTTCTCCATAGCTTTTTGGTTCCTGTCCTGGAACTAGCTCTTGTTGACCAGGCTGGCCTTGAACTCACAGAGATCCACCTGCCTCTGCCTCCCGAGTGCTGGGATTAAAGGCATGCGCCACCACCGCCCGGCTTGTATACAAGTTTATCATGTACTTTTGACTTTTCTGCTCCCCTCTGTCTCCTACTATTCCCTTTTTCTTCTCTGGAAGTTTCTTTTCCACTTTTGTGTCTTTTGTTTATTTATTATTATTATTATTATTATTATTATTATTATTATTATTATTATTATTACTGAGTTGGGTCTCATATTGAAGCTCATTTAGCAGTCATTCTGTTTCCCAGGCTGGTCTTGAACTCATGGCGATCTTCCCTTAGCATCTAAATTATTGGTATTACAGCAGTAAGTCATAAACTTCTGGGCTGGGCCCCACCACCAGGTTCTAATTATCCTCTTTCTTAACCCAGCTCTTGACAATAAAATCTGGTTTCTGTTATTGGAGTTTTTCCTTTTACAGAAAGTCATGTAGGGTAGCATTGGGCAGTATGTAGTCCTTTAGGCCTGGCCTCTTTTATCCACCATTCAGGACTCATTCATATTGTGGCATTTCTCGGTTGTTTGTCTTATGTTATTGCCAAATTTGGAGTCATGTAATTATTTTCACCCCTCTAAAAATATGCAAACTGTTTCCTGACATCAAAAGCCCACAACATAAAGCAAAATAAAATTTAGTTATAATAAGTTAGTAGTAAAATCACATACAGAAAAAATTCTTCAAATAACTTTAAAGCAGGTTAGTCTGAGCATATATTCTTACTGCCATCTACCCTATAGAAGGGAAAAGAAGCCAGAAAATTCAACTGTGTCTCATGGGTCAGAGTTGGGTCATCTAGTAACTCTACATATCAAGTAGCTATAGAAAAGCATTTACTTTCTCTTCTCTGTGATGTCAACCAGCAAAGGGTTAGAACAATTGCAGATCCAGCTTCTGCTGTCTACTAGGACCAGCTTGCCTTCTTTCTGCTCCCTTTGGATTGGGCTAGGAAAGCTCTTTTCCCACTGTCACTTAACATAGTTAAGTTTGCTGAAGTTGAACAGCAAATCTGGAACCGTTTCTACTCTCTGAGCCCGAGAAGAGAACTCCCAAGTGTATTATCAATGGTTATTAAGCTGGCCTCTCCAGGTTAACAGTGGAGCCTTTCTCCCATCAATTAGGCTTAGAGACTTGCATTTCCTAACAAGGCTTGTGATTCTGAAAGAAAAAGTCATGGAAACCTGAAGTCTTGGAGGTTGCATGATGCTGTGAGAACTGAGGCTCCATTGCAAAAATACATATGCATGTTATACATCCAGAGATGTCTGAAAGACATTTTAAAATTATGATAGGCCAATTATTTCAAACATCCTACAGGAAGTGGGTAAATTGTGGAATATATATTACAGCATATTGGGTAGCTGGTTACACAAGACATTGTTTTCTAGGAAATGGTTCCAAGAAGAATACATCCATCGGTGTGTCTCTGGCATTATTCTTTCCCCTTGACTAAACAGGCACATCTAGTAACTGGTCTAAACAGTCAATAAGCATCGTGAATATGAGGAGAGGTTGAGGACAGCTTCATAAGCATGATATCATTTGATATTTCCCAAAGACTGTGAACTGTTTCAATCACCACTCCTGGTCCCACTTCACAGATGAGTGATCAGAGGCTCTTGGTGTGTCATGGTTTGCATCAAGTAATGCAGGAGGCAAATTTTGTCTAGAACCACCTGTCCTTTAGTGTCTTTTGTACTCCAACCTTTTCTCCCACCCCTTTGTCACTGTTCCTCTTTGGATTTAGGGTACCTGGGTACCATCAGAAGAGTGGCCAGGAGCATAGGTGGTACCATATAGAAAGACAGGCAGCAATACTGAAGGTCAGAGGGACATATTTACCTGATATTTGGGTGGGAATTTCTTCAGTGAACAGAAATGAAACCTTCGTAAGACATTTTCTGTCACTGCCAGTAGCTTTAGGTGACTAGGGAGACCGATTCTGTTCAGAAACGCAGGTTGATGGCAAAGAGTCAGGCTGTCAATGCTGTAAAAGTATCTAGGACATTGATGACTTTTGGGTAACATGAAATAAAACATTTTACCTGCCTGGGCCTGAGAATAGATCATTTGTAAAGCTCATATATAGTTGACATCACACAATTCCTTGCTTGGGTTTGCAGTACAGATGGGAAAACTCTAAAGCAGGGGTCTGGTAAGAGGTCAGCTATTTAGGTTGTAGATTCCTGCCTTGGACTTAAAGGTCTCACCTGTCAGATTTGAAGACTAATAGGTTTTTCAATTCCCATTAATAAAAGGAAAGGACTGGAAAGCTGAATTAATGAAGATAATAGCCTCCATAGGAATTTTAAATGATACACATATGCATTCTCTGTTGGCCTTGGTCCCAAGGAGGAGCAGAAGGAGGGAGAACATGAGCAAAGAATTCGGGACCACGAGGCGTGCATCCACCCACTGAGACAGTAGAGCTGATCTACGGGGAGCTCACCAAGGCCAGCTGGACTGTGACCGAAAAAGCATGGGATAAAACCGGACTCTCTGAACATGGCGAACAATGAGGGCTGATGAGACACCAAGGACAATGGCAGGGGGTTTTGATCCTAATTAATGTGCTGGCTTTGTGGGAGCCTAGCCAGTTTGGATGTTCACCTTCCTAGATATGGACGGAGGGGGGAGGACCTAGGACTTAACACAGGGCAGGGAACCCGGACTGCTCTGTGGTCTGGAGAGGGAATGGGAGAGGAGTGGGGGGAGGGGGAGAAGGGTGGGAGGAGGGGGAGAAGGGTTGGAGGAGGGGGAGAAGGGTGGGAGGAGGAGAAGGGAAATGGGAGGCTGGGAGGAGGTGGAAACTTGTTTTTTTGTTTGTGTTTTTTTTTTCTTCTTTTCGAAATAAAAAAAAATAAAAAAAAAGTGCATGCATGTGAGTATGTGTGTGTGTGTGTGTGTGTGTGTGTGCACATGTGTATAGCTGAGGAGTTAAGAAACTTGGTGTAGGTAGGAGAACCAATATGCTGTTAAACAATTGCCTGATAACAGTGATCCTTAATTGGCCACACAGAAGAATTTCTTTGGAGGACTTTATGCGGTGCCAGGGATTAAACCTAGCATTTTGTACATGCTGCAACAGAATCTTTAAGCTCTATTCACAGAACTCTTCTTACTTTTTCCAGATGAAGGGTCTCCTAAATTGCTCTCTAAGTTGCCCAGTCTGGACTAGAACTCGTGATCTTCCTGCCTCAGCCTCTCTTACTGGCTGGGATTACAAACCTGTGTCACCAGACTCACCTAGACTTTAAAAAAATCTTTGTAAATTAAATGTACCTGGTGCAGCTTACGTCACAGCCAGGTGAAGGGGTGACGGGCTGGTTGCTAAGGAGGCCTTTGTAGTGTGGCTATCCACTCCGCAGTGACAACCAGCTAGGCAGGCAGCGGTTCAAACACAGGAAGGCTGCCGGCGGAGCGGAAGGGACCCCATTACCATGAGCTTCGGGTCTGGTGGACTTTGAGGCCCATGAGAACAGAGCAACACCCTTCATTTGCTGGGTTTCCACTACACCAAAGCACAGTCAACTGCGGGACAGAAACGGACTGAAATTGGACCACATGGTGCCACCCCTCTATAGCAGAGAGAGGCAGTTTGACCTGAAGCACCACTTGGAGGGTCAGAGGGAATCAAGCTCCAGGCTGCTACCGCCACCTCTGCAGCTGTGAGTTGACAGGCGCCATCACTTTGGGCCTCTGCCTCTCAACACCATGGCAGAGGCTGAGTCCGCCTCCACACCTTACATCGAAGATGATTTCTACTGTCCGATCTGTAGAGAAGTTTTCAAGATACCAGTTCGGGTTGCTGCCTGTCAGCATGTTTTCTGCCGAAAATGCTTCCTAACTGCAATGAAAAAGAGTGGGATCCGTTGCCCCTTGTGCCGTGGGAATGTGACTAGACGAGAAAGATCACGTCCAGAGAGGGCCCTAGACCTAGAGACAATCATGAGAAGTTTTCATGGTAGTTGCCGATACTGTTCCCAACGTATTGAACTGTGTCACATGAGACAACATTACAAAACTTGCAAAAAAGTATCAAGATGAGTTTGGAGTTTCTTCAACTCTTTCAAGCTTCCAACTGTCTCATGACTCCGTGGGCAACAGTAAACAGTGAGACAACCACCTCTGAAAATGCCGAGGCTTATCTAGAAGACAATACAATCCCATCTGATCAGCCTTCTTTTCATTGTCCTCTGTGCAAAGCAAACATGACCAGACAGTGTTTGCATTGTAACAGCAACCACAGAGCTCATATTGTTCCAGCCATTTGCCCAAGTTGTCTGTCTCTTCTATGGGGTGACCCTACTCAACTTGCCAGAAATTTCATTAGTCATCTAAGTGAGAGACATCAATTTGATTATGGAGATCTGATGAATCTGTAACTGGATGAGGAAACACAGTACCAGATTGCAGTTGAGGAATCTCTGCATGTCAACATCCTCAGCTCTACAGTCACTCCTAAGGGTCAATTTACATGAAACCATTCTTTCAACAACTTGGTGTGCTTTAAATAAAAGCACACCAAGTCTGACCTGTTTTAATATTTCTTTTATTGAAAATCAAAGGTGCGCTACCTTAAAACTTAGTCCTTTGAACAAGAAGACCAGGGAGTGTGGGTGGAGGGATGAAGACTATGGAAATGTGGGAGAGTAGAAAGGAGGTTGGGGACCAGGAAGGGGGAGGAACAGAAGAAGGAATGGGAAGGGTGAGGGGAGGAGGGGTAGAGGAGGATGATGGGAGAGGAGAGGAATATAGGAGGAGGGGGAGGGACAGAGAGGTGGGAAAGGAATGGAAAAGGGGAGGGGTATTGGGAAGAGAGATGGGAGGAGAGGGAAGGGTGGGGAGGGAAGAGGTGATTGGAAAAGGAGGAGGGTGAGCCAAGGAGGAGGGAGGGAGATGATTGAGAAAGGAGACGAGGAGGGATGAGAAAGAATGCGGATGAGAGGAGGAGGGGCAGGAAGGAGAAGGAAAGGTGGTGGGTGGAAAAGGGGAGGAGGATGGATGAGAAAAAATAGGGATGAGAGGAGGAGGGGTAGGGAGGACAGGAGGGTAGTGAGTGGGAAAGGGGAGGAGGAAGGTTGAGAAAGAATAGAGATGAGAGGAGGGACAGGGAGGAGGGAGGGAAGTGAGTGGGAAAGGGGAGGAGGAAGGTTGAGAAAGAATAGGGATAAGAGGAAGAGGGGCAGAGAGGAGGGAGGGAAGTGAGTGGGAAAGGGGAGGAAAAAGGGTGAGAAAGAATAGGGATGAGAGGAGAAGGGACAGGGAGGAGGGAGTATGTTGAGTGGGAAAAAGAAAAGAGATGAGAGGAGGAGGAAATGAAGCTGTGCAACAGCATACAATGAGTGATACTCATAGCTAGGATCTTATTTTCTTTTGCTGAGCTCTAAATCAGGGCCCAGGTTTATGTTCATAGAGGGTTGACTGTTGGCAGGATGAAGTGAACACAGGGAAAGGGATTTGGGTACACATGTTCAAGCATGCACATAGATACCAAGGAAACCATACCACTCTCCAATGCCCTTAGAATAGATGAAAGCCTAATCCGCATCTTGGGGTGTGTTCCTCAGTATGGTTGGAATTTCCTTGACCTGCTCACTCCTCCACTGCCTCTCTCCATTTTCAGCTTTCCCCCCTAGTTATAAAACAGCTACTGAAAATCTACATTCCTCGAAATATTTCATTAAAGCTAAGACTCTCTTTTGCTTTAGTTTTCCCTCGCTTTTCACACAGAATGCCCTGAGACTCACTTAGTCTGTCCTTGGTATTGACATATGCCATCCCAGCTCACTTCCTTTTAAACAGCGAGTCCCCTGACTTTGTGCATTTGAAGATTCTTCACTTAGGTCCGACAACCTGAGCTGCTATTCAGAGTCCATAGGTCAATTTCTTCCTGGATTGGAGGAAAGACTTTTACAATGGTACAGGGGCTTGTTGCTGTTTAAATCATGTCAACGGTGACTCTCTTGACTTTAGCCCACTTTTTCATCTTATTTTCGCTTAAGACTCTCCTGCCTCCATTCCACATAATAAGTGAGCTGGGCTTCGTTAGTTCCTATATGCTGCACCTCCTCTTCTTTTCTGTGCTTTGTACATTGCTCCCTCCCCACCAACCCCCTTTCTGTCGTAGTGCCAGCATGACCCTGTGCTTCCAATTCAGCTTCAACTAGTGAAGAAAATCCTACCAGCTTTCAAGCTTCAGTTCACTTCTGGACTTTCAACACAACCTATTACTCCAGCAATTTTTGTTCGTTTTTCTTCTTCAGTCCTCAGTCTCTTACTGTGTTATTGCCCATGTGGCTTGTGTAGTCACTGAATATTCACAGATAGTTACTTGGGGGATCTATACAGTTGATAGAATAGAAATCACTTGTGGAGAGAGTCTCCTTCTCCTCCTCTTTCTCCTCCTCCTCCTCCTCCTCCTCCTCCTCCTCCTCCTCCTCCTCCTCCTCCTCCTCCTTCTTCTCCTTCTTTCTTCTCCTTTTTTTTTTGTTTTCAAAACAGGGTTTCTCCATGTAAACAGCCCTGGTTGTCCCAGAGTCTAGTAGACCAAGCTGACCTCGAACTCAGAGAAATCCACCTACCTCCTGAGTGCTGGGATTTGAGGTGTGCGCCAACACTGCCCAACTGAGTTTATATATTGTCATGCCATAGCATGCAGCACATAGGATAGTAGATGTGTGGCAACTTTGTTTATAACTGATTATAGGAATAAAACCTGAGACACAAAACATAAAGTTTTGACCAAAAGTTTTATTGGAAGTAAGATCCTGAAAAACTATAATTTCTTGTCTCCATGATGGTTTCTATTTCAATTTCAAATATACTTGAGCAAAATATATGTCCAGTAAAATTGATTAGTGAATAAAAATTAAAAATAGAAATCTCAAAACATACTCTTGAATTAATTTGAGCATATGCATGTTTTCAGAACTATTATTTAAAAATCTGCCTTGATTTCATTAATATAAAGCAAAGCCTTCTAAGATAATCAGAACAAGACGAATATTCCAATAGCTCCAATTTGGAAATGATGTGAATATTTTTAAATGCTTAATTTAGCTTATTTAGCTATCTTTTATATGAAGTTCTTTGACAATCAAGAAATTCAAACTGAAACAATAGCAAGAAATTATTATTATTATTTTTGCCTAAGTGGTACAGTTTTGTTTTTTGTTCTCTTTTGTTTGAGGCAGGATCATTCACTATGCAGACCAGGCTGGGATGAAAGTTGTAGCAATCCACCTGCCTCAGCTTCCTTGCGCACTATGACTGAAGGTATGCAACCATGCCTCGATTCTTTTTAATGAGTTATTCCTACTATAGTGAAAGGTTCCACATGGAATCTCACATGCTGTTTGGGTTATAGGTTGGGTTGGAATGCAATCTGTGTTGAAAGTAAAAATGTGTATAGTCTATGAGTACTTTGAAAATCCTTCAAGTCTCCACTGAAGTTGAACATGTGGCCATCTTTTGGGCCTGGCAATTCTCCCCTTAGCTACATGCATATTTAACAGAGTGTTTATATATGTCACTGAAAAACATGTTGTAGAATCTTCATAGAAGCATGACTCTTAGTGACACCTAACTGAGAAGTGCATAAAAAAATTCCTATTGACAGCAGAGTAGATAAAGAAGCATAGCATGTGTACAGCATGGAATACCACCCAGAAATGAGAATGAACACATGATCACTACCAGCTACAGGAAAAGTTGCACAAATAGCAGTGTTGAGTAAAATAAGCTAAATTAAAAAACAAAAGAGTACATGAAATATGAATTTATATTGAGTTAAAACATGAGTAAAATAAATTTATTGTGTGAAATGCCACTTTGATGACTACTTCTGGGGTGGTTAATAATAGAGAAAATGGCTTCATAAGGGTTGTTGGTGTTTTGTAATATAATATTTTATGGATTCGTAGAGACTTTCATATAGCATATCTGGATTGCATTCATTTCCCAACTTCCTGCTCCTCCCAGACTCTCGTCCTTTTCTTGTTCTCATTTTTTTGCTGTTTGTCTTTGCCTTTTAAAGAGACTATCTTGCAGCAGATGTCTAGTCTTCCATCTCTGAGTTGGGTAGTAGGGATCTGTTCCATAGTTATGCTCATCTTGTAAAAAGTTGTCAAGCACTCAGCTTATGGTTTGTATACTTGTCAGTGGAAACCTTTAAAAGTTTGAATATTCTTTCACTAAGTAAATTTACTAGTATTATTTTCTGTGAAATAATAAATGTCATCAAAGAATTTGTATTCAGTGCTTTTCATTAAAAGTTCCTTCCAACAGTAAGAAATTAAATATGGTAACAGTTTCAGACATAAGTGAAGTGGTCAAATACAGTAAGACAAGACATTGCATCCCTAAAAGATCATTTTCACACAATGATAAGTTTTCATGTAATATGAAAAAAGTGCTAAACTATATACAGAGAATGATACAATGGAAAAACAAATAAAACAATAACAAGATACATTTCATCAAGAAATTTTATAATTTCATAAAAATACATCTATGTCTAATGCTAGCATTGTTATTCAGGAATGATAGCTTATCAGGTAATTTTATTGTCTTCTTTAAATTTTAATTTACATTCTAAATTATACATAATGATTATATGATTATTTTATAAACTATTATATATATGTATGTATGTGTGTACATTACTGTATCACAGTTCAAGTGAGTTCCTCCAGTATCCACTTATGGTTTTTCAAAGCTAATAAAAGCAGAAAAGTCAAAGAAGAAAAAGCTATCCATGTGACCTTGGCATTTAAGCCAGTTCTCTCAAACTGTCTCTCTCCTCTCTCTTGATCCTCTCTGCACTCTCCCATCTCCTCCTCGATCCCTGGCATACTGCTGAAAGAAGTACCCAAAGTCCAAGGAGACCCTCACACATTCTGAAGAGAAATAAAATAAATTCACATTCATTTTGAACAGTGACTGTGAGCTCGCTGTAGGAGATCAGAAGTGTGGGAAGCAGGGAGCTGAGAGAGTATATGTTCCTCCCCTTTTCCAGGCTTATAAAGAAATTATTGTACACAAATTGGCAGAAAGCACTTCTGTGCCAACTCCAAAGCTTGATAGTGATAGTGGAGGGCAAACCCTGAGTTTTCTTTATATTCATGGAACTAATGTCTTTTTTAAAAGAAAGAAATACGTGTATGAGTGTTTATTCCACGTATATCCCTGTGTACCATGTTCACAGAAAGTCCTGAGGGTCCAGAGGAGGGTGTTGGAGCCTCTGGAGCCTGAGTTATAGATAGTCGTAAGCTGCCCTGTGAGCAGGATGGACCAAACTCGAGTGCTCTGAAAGAGCAAGTATTCCTAACACTGAGCCATCACTCCAGACCCATAGGAGGTTTCTTCATTTAGATAACATTCT